AATTATAACTCAATCACATAATCATATAGTACTAAAAAAATACTAATCAACTCAAAAAACATATTAATATTTACTCATACTCATCAATAGGGTAATATTTATTAATACTTTAGCTGAACAATACTCATCAATAGAGTAAAACTCATTATTACTCATGTCAGCCCATTAACAAGGTCATAAAACAATTATTCACAGACATATCAACACAACTATAAACATGTCAGAGTTACTCAATTTTTAACTCTAACAACACATAAAGTCTTGCTCTACAAAATCACAACAACTCAAAATTAACTCTTTTGACCAACGACCTTACTAAAGTAATAATATAACTCAAAACAACTTTAAAAAGTCAATTACCTCAATTTTTACTCCAAAACTCATCAGAATTAACCTTAAACATGTTATCAGCTAGTCACACATCAGATTCGAATAATTATTTAAAATATCAAATAGAGTCCAAATAAAGCAAATGAATATGTTCCAGAAATATTAGAGAGTCTATTTTAATACTATTATTTTTATTTCAATACTTAATACCCCAAACGGTTCAGTTTAACCACACAACTAGAATAGGTACTCGTATCAGGTAGAATGTTTCACCTGACTTTAAAATAGCACCAAACATTATAGACTTATGTTAAAATTATGAAACTCTCTAGTCTAAAAGATCATTGAACCCTCTTTTTTACGCAAATGATAGCACCTCAAACAGACTTACAAAACTCAAGTTATGCGTGAAACAAGATGACCAACGTAAAACTAAAATTAACTACACTTCGGTATAAAAACTAGAGAACTGCTACTGTTATAGTGATCCTAGACCCATTTTCTCCACTTCAAAAGAAATATTCTATATTATTTTTCTAACGCAATTGACGACACCTCAAACAGACTTATGGAACTCAAGTTACGCACAAAACAAGACATTCAATCCCCTTTTATATCTACCTGCGATTTTCTGCATTTTTCCTCCCTATTGAATAATTACAAATCTCGTCTATTTTACCTATTTGAGTTATAACTATCCCAATACACACTGATAAACATAAATATGACTCAAGCATCACATATTCAACTCTCGCCTTATTATAAGGCAACAATATACTTTATCAATTACTCCCACCTTATCAACACAGATCCACAACCACAAACAATTCTATTAACTTGATGAGTGCTAAATTGTTGTGAATTTTAGTGTAAATAATTAGCACTCATCCACTTATTTCATTTTCTTTTCATCAATAAACCTAAACTTTAGTGTATATTCGGTATAATTTACGTTATAGTGTATATATTGCGTTATCGTGTAAATATCATTGAGTTTAATTGTTTTTATCTCATTTTTGTATGTATTTAATCAATGATATTTAGGCATTGTTAGATAAAGCATTGAATAAGTTTTCCAACACTTTCGACCTTGCACAAATCAATGTTATGGTTTCTCAAGTTATGGCCAAAACAATGTTGAAAATTTCTAATTATTGTCAATCGTCGCTCCTTGGTCGCCGGGCGACGCTGGGGCACCCCAGAGGCGTGAAAATGCACTAAAAATTATTGTTTTGAGCGTTGGGCGATAACGTCTGGGCTGAAACACGTTAAAAGGGCCAAAACACTCATTTTTAGGTTATATTTTGGGGTATTTGTTCCCAACTCATAAAAACTTCATTATTTATAGTTTAGTGCTTAGAAAACAATATTAGAGCTTGCACACGGATGATCCGAGGTGGATTTCTCATCTTTCGGCACTGACAAACCAGGAGATTTTTGGTTCATTTCTCTTCCTCTTTGTGTATTCTTCATTTGTTGGGTTTTGTGTATTTATTTACTTTGAACATATGTATATGTATTGATCATGATGTTGTATAAAGCTTGTCTTCCAAATCATTGTTGTTGTCTTTCTTGATCTTTTTGCTTTATGTTTGGATTTGGGTTGTTATAGACATATACCTCATAAATCTTGATTAGAGATGGATATTTATTAGTTTCTAGACTCTAGAGATAGATTTAGAGCTAATAATCATTGTGGGTAACGAAGCTTAATGTCTCCTTGTTGTTTGTGTTGCACTGAGAGATCCTCGACGCGAGTAATACGGTTGTCTTCAACTTTGCATTAGACATAAACTTTGTTGTGGTACATCTCGTGGTGTCTGTGATGAAATTGAGGAGTATTGTAGGATGAGTATAACTGATCAATAGGTTTAAGTTTGTGACGAGTGGATTATATTCGTGTCTGATAAGTCTATTCTCTTCAATAAATGTATTTATTTTCTTGTCAATAGTTTATACCCTTTTCTTACAAACAAACACATTTAAAACCAAACTCATAAACGCGAGAAATTGTCGAGCGACAATTCAGTAACCACTAATCCACGTGGAGACGATATGATAAAACTAAATCAATACTTACTTTTTGATGCCGCTCTACCGCTTCAACACAACTCAACTCAATAGTAACAACACAACTCAAAAATGCTCCAATAACAACTCTAAAGGCTCAAACTTTAAGTATTATTAATTATTTTAATTATTTATTTATAATGGGCAAAAACCCTTAAATGGTCATCGACAAAGGTTACTCAAACCCTCGTCCTAAACTCTAAAATATGTCAATTAACTCCAAATAAATAATACTCTTTAACTCTAACTCAAAATTAATATTTTAATATAAATTAATATTTTCCTCTTAAATCTATTGACAAATTCAACATGCTCAAATAACTCTCATTTAGACGTATGACTCAATTTATTCAAAATCCTTCAACTCTACACCAACCATATCAGTTAACTCTAACTTACAAAAACATGACTCGAATATACTCAAACAACTGAAATTATCAAACAACAACAATGCATCAACAAGGATTTAAGTAATAACAATTATACAATTTCATAACATGTTCATGAGAATAAGGGAAACATATCAATCAATGTTTCAAAGGGTTTTTCCCCAAATCCTTTTTGGCCACAAACACAACAATCACAAACATAGAAGAAGAAGAAGAAGATAAGAGGGTAAGAATTCCTCACTATACGAATGCTTAAACACCCACATGTAAAGAGTTCCCCCTTACCTCGAAGTTGTAGATCATTGAACTTTCTTTCCCTTGGGATCTACCTCTCTTCCTTCCTGTTGCGCCCCAAAGTTTGCCTTATTCTTTTTAACCTAAATGGCTTATGTTTCATCATACACACTCATGCATTTGAGATGGGATCAAGGTATTCTTGTCTTCATGATCTTCTTAAAACTATAGAAGATGGTTTTATTGACAATCAGTGCAAAGAGGGATTCATACCCCCATTCTTTGGGTCACTCAAACTACAAAGACTTCTCATACCTCAAGACATATCAACTTGGCCATCATTTCATTTGAAGATTGAAGACTGCGAGTACTGAAGTGTGGAATTAGGGTTGTGGTCCATGGATTGTTAATCGGTTTCTTCTGCATTGAGATACAAGGTTGTTCACTAACCAAATTCATTAGGGTCGAGGATTACGGTTTTCAGCTATTGTGATTCAACTGAGGTTCTTCAACTAAGTTTCATTGAAAGTAGGGATTTCATGGTCATATTATCTTTATATGTTCCAGTTATCATTCTCATCTTCAAAGATGAGAATGACATCCTTATTCCCTTTGTGTTGAGATCATTGGTTATTAAGCCAGAGACTTATGGTTTGAATTTATAAAAGGATGAGTCATAGTACAAGGTATGAGGTTATGGGTTTGTTCTTGATCAGGATTATTGTGAGGTATTCATTCAAGTGCATGCTAAGTTTGGAAACATGGTTTACATGATTTTCTTGGTATTCAAGTTACAAGGTTAAAGCATTCATCATGATCATTCCACATCTATCACGATATTGTATCATGCTTCATTCTTGCGACTTTCGGTTACTTAAGTCAAGGCATATATGTGGACTTATCTCACCAATTAAGATTTTGGACATCATGATACAAAGTACTTCGCATAGTCAATTTGTTTACTTGTCACACGATCTTTCTTTGGATTTCATTTCAAATGCCTTAAATTCAAAATCTAGGATTTCTTGTGGGGGATTAAGGTTTCGAAGTAAAGATTAAGAGAGATGCGAGATTCCTCCATTCATTTGAAGATATTTGGACATGATTCATGAAAGATCAAAAAGGGGGTCAATACTACATGATCATCTTATTTCGCCAAAGATTTTAATAGACTCACATCATGGCCATGGAATTTTACGCTCGAAAGAACTTGAAATACAAACCCAATTTAAAAGAGAAGAATACATTAATTACTTGGGATTTGTTATTGAATTTTAAAGGGATAACAAAGGGCACTAATTCTCAAGGATACATTACAAGATGAAAGTATATTTCCAATCCAAAGACACCATTTCATTACTCAGCAAAGTTACACGAGTTTACAGGGAAATCAAAATCTAAACCTAAATGCCTTTTATGTTCCAGAAATCAATTTCCAAGCTTCATTCTTCATGAACTTCGTCAAACTGGTCATAACAAATTGTCCTTGACACATACCCACAATGAAATCAGGGATTCACTGAAAGGAACCTGTCCATAAACCGATACAAAAATCAGGAAGCACAAATTAAAGGAAAATATAAAATCAGTACAGTAGGAAAAATCAGAAGAATAAAAGAGGAAAGTGTGCAAAAACCGTGAAATTACAGTTCAGAATCAATAAACCAAAAAACCGTGAAATTCATAACGGCTCAACTTTCATTCAAATCAAACCATCCAAATCTCTACCAATTTTCAGATTCTAAGGCTGAGATGGATTCAAATCCTAACAAACTTTTCACAGATTGAATAAACTCTAACAAAAATATAAAACGAATTCATACCTTGATCGATCCTCATTCTTCATTCTTTAGAGAAATCACCACAGAAAATCACAAAAACTCTCTCAAATTATCTCTTATCCTCTCATCTTCATCATGCTTCCATTCACAGAAGAATCACCACATAAAAATATCTGAAAAAAACTCTATCTTCTTCATGCATCTTCATCTGCACCATTCTCTCCCTGAGACTTCAATCAACTGCAAGATATATGCAACCATTCCATCACCTTCTACAAAACGCTGCTGCACCTTTCATCATCATCTCCAATCTTCAACGTCATCTTCTTCCCTAAACCTTCATCATTTCTTCAAACTTCACCGGCACAGAACCGTTCTGCAATCTTCGTCAATAACATCAAATCTTGATCTCTACGGCTTCCTCGATTCATCACAAAAGCTTCACTGTTTCCTCTTCAATCTTACTGTTCAACAACCTATATCATCATCATCACCGATCCACCGTCAAAGTCGCAACATAAGATCAGAAGCGAAACCAAAAAAGGCAGAAGGAGAAGAGATTCAAACTGTAAATCGCATCCTCCGCATTTTGTCAACGTGTACGAACTCTGGTTTTTGTGTGTTAGGGCACGGTATCATGAAGGTTGAGTCATGGACCATAATCGCGACTGAAGCTTTGAAATCGGAGGTTTCTTGAAATAAGACGGCACCGTGTCTGACATAATCATGAATCTGTGAAGGCGATAAAGGTGATGAGAGCGAGGCGAAGGAAGAATCGAAGAACTATGAAAAGGCGGCGACGCTTTAATTCTGGTCAGAGATGGAGGTTGAGTGCCGCCGCGGTTTGCGAATTTGAGAGGATGAAGAGAACTTCGTTGTCGTGAAAGAGTTCAAAGACATTGTTTCCTTCTTTTACTTTTTCTTTTCTTTTACTTTTTTTAATTAATTCTTTTAATTGGAAATGAGCTGAGAATCTTCTTGTGTTTGCGATTGGTGTGGACCGAATTATACTATTCTCCAGGTCTGAACTCTTTTTTTTTTGCAGTTAATTGACTTGCCAAAAAACTGAATTGCTTGGGCTTCATTCAGCGGGCCTTACGCCAAGGTCTCACTTGCTAGCCATAGTTTCTGATCAGCTCTGCACCCCCTCTGTTAGATTTTAGATATTCTTTTTCATAACTTTTGATAACAAAAATTAGTGATAAAAGATTATAATAATAAAATGCATTAATAAAAATAGTAGTATAATTAAATTTTTCTAGGATTTCTTTTTAGAATTTTGATTAGAATTTTCTATTATTGTTTATGTTTAGTAATCATTTTCGTTGCCATCTTTAGCTGAGATTTTATGATAGTATTGAGGCGATTTTCTGTGATATGGGATGTTTGGAGATTTACTACTCGTTTGATCATTTATTCAAGGAAGCTTTTCGTAGAGTTTTCTTACCTCGCGCATTAAAGAGGCAACGAACCTTCTCCGTTAGGTATCACCGAGACTTTATTTTATTCCTCATTTCGCATAATTTTCCATTTTCCTTGTCATGAGAAGTAGGAATAGAGATGCATGATCATTTACCGCTTTCCTTGCCATGAGAAGTAGAAGTAGAGATGCATGATCATTTACCGCTTTCCTTGCCATGAGAAGTAGGAGTAGAGATGCATGTTTTGGGAGTCCCTTTGAGGCAAATCTGGTTTATTTAAAGACCTTGGTTAAGGCAATTCCTACTTGTGCTTGTGCTTGTTTGTTTAAAAGTCCCCGACGAAGGCGATTTCCGTGTGTTTACATTTGTACCCAAAGACCTCAAAGATGGTGTCACATCCATATTCCCCATTGATAAGTCCTCAAAATGAGGCAAGGCGAGCAGAGGATTCGCAATCGACCCCGCCATTTCTTGTCCTCAGGTCGTTCATAGCCCACGTCCTACGTCGATGCTATAAACAGTACTACTCTTGTTATCAAGTTGAATACAGGGATCCGTAACCAATCCCCCGCGCTTTGTCTTTATCTCTCGTTTGCCAATGTTGATGCTTCAATTTGATCTCATTACCGTCTTCTATCGCTTACCTCGATGACATGATATCTTGATCAGGTGACAATTCACTTTTATTCTTCTCTCGCCTAGACGACACGATATATTGGTTAAGGGTCAACACCCCCTATTCGTGTTTCCCTGATCACATGATATCACGGTTAAGAGCTACTAATTTCCTACAATTTTGCTTGCCTCGATGACTCGATATCTTGGTTAGGTCTCCCTTTATCCAACCTTGGTGACATGATATCATGGTTAGGTGTCCCACTTGTCTTATCCTACCTCGATGACACGATACCATGGTTAGGTGTTATCCATCTCCCCTTCTTACCTTGGTGATAGGATACCTTGGTTAGGAGTGTGCTACTTGAGTGAGTGGATACTCCTCAAGCTTTGTGTGTTTTCTTTCTATTGCGTGATCACATGTTCCTCATAGGATCTTTAGTTCATCCTCCTTCAAGTTTGAACTAATTAGCCCTTAGGATGGAATCTATGCATGCCAAAATTAGGTAAGACCTCCCTTGACCCCCAACTATAGGACCAACTTTACAGGACGACTTTAGGGCTATTTTTCTAGCTTTTCCCCCCTTAAACCTTTTTCTTTTTGAGGGTACATTTTGATCGGTGTTTCATCATCGTTTCTTATCTTTATTATCATACTTTGGTGACTTGATACCATTGTTAGGTGTATGTTTCTCAATGTTTCATCATCGATTTCTATCTTTATCATCCTGCTTTTGTGACTTGATATCATCGTTAGGTGTATGTTTGATCGATGTTCCATCATCGTTTCTTATTTTTGTTATCCTATTTTGGTGACTTGATACCAATGTTAGGTGTATGTTTGCTCTAAGTTTCATCATTGATTTCTATCTTTGTTATCCTGCTTTGGTGACTTGATACCATTGTTAGGTGTATGTTTGCTTGATATTTCACCATCGTTTCTATCTTTGTTATCCTACTTTGGTGACTTGATACCATTGTTAGGTGTATGTTTGACTGATGCTTTGCCATCGTTTCTTATCGCTTATCATCCTACTTTGATGACTTGATATCATTGTTAGGTGTGGATGTTCTGCCATCCCTTTTTATCGTTTCTATCCTACCTTGGTGACTCGATACCATTGCTAGGTGTATGCTTGATCGATGTTTTGCCATTGTTTCTTATTGCTCGTATCCTACTTTGATGACATGATATCATTCTAGGTGTTCATTACTCGTTATCTCTTTCTCTATCCTACTTTGATGACCCGATATCATTGTTAGGTGTTGATATTTTACTATCTTTTCTTATCCTACTTTGATGACTTGATATCATTGTTAGGTGTTGATGTGTTACCGTCTCTTTATTGTTTTCTATTCTACTTTGATGACATGATATCATTGATAGGTGTTGGTTTTCTATCACCCCTTGTATCTTTTCTATCCTACTTTGGTGACACGATACCATTGTTAGGTGGCTGTTTGATCGGTGTTTTACCATCCTTTTTCCTATTCCTATGTGATGCTTTCTTGTTTTCATTGCTTGCCATATTTTGTGTATTCTTTCTCCTTTGCTTAGGCTTTCCTTTTGCATTTGCATTAAAACTAAAACCTCTTTTTCTTTCAAACTCATAAGACACTCTAAAATTGCAAAATCACTTTTCAAGGTAAAAAACACCAATCAATTCAAACTTCTTTTACCTCTTGGATTTTTATTTTAAAACCTTTTCAAAAAGGACATGCTTCGCTAGCACCGTCTATAAAAAGCACACAACAAATAGAAACTATTGAGCCGAACTACAACACTCTGATTCCTTAAAAGGGATACGTAGACATTAGGTCGCGAGGCCTAAGCGAGCATAACTTTGTAAAATCTTCTTTCTTTTCCCCGTGTTTTCTTTTGCATGCATTCCATTTTAGAATTAAGCTTTAGACATAGATTAGATACACCCTTTAGATTAGAACAAACTTAAGTGGGTCCTGTGGAGTACCACAAATGTGAGGGGTGCTAATACCTTCCCCTTGCGTAACCTACTTCCTTACCCTTATCTCTTGGTTGTGATGACCATGCTCCTTTCCTTCCCTCAGGTTTACTTAGTGTTTCCTTTTGCTCTCTTAGGATAAATAACATTGATGGCAACTCTTATGTCTTTCACCTCCTTCGCACTTTAATGAAAATTCTAGACACGAGAGCTGGAGACTCTACTGGGGATAGGTTGACCAATTTCTGGTCCATCATATGCAAGTCAGTCCTAGCTTTCGTTTATTTTCATGTCTTTGGATGTTTTGTGTGTTATTGCTTTATTACTACTTTATTTACACGCTTTTGTGCATATGTTTGCATAACATTTTACCACTTTCCATATATTGTTGTTGTGCTGGCTCTGTTTCTTTGTTGGGTGAGTGTTACTATTGAGGTAAAAGGCCCAATACCCAGGCCAAGTGACAAACCATAAGAATACTAAGAATAGAGTGGAACATGATGGATATGGTATGTAGATCTTCCTATACGGATATGTCATCCATGCTCAGATGAGGTTTTAATGAGTTGTTATCATTATCACGTAGGTGTATGATGATAGTATTCTCAAGTGAACCTAGGATTCTGAGTTATCATTAACCTTACCTTGACCTAGTCTTGACCCGTGAGTGGGGCGAGAATATTTTAGCAGGTACAGATGGTGACTATTTTCTGATGGTGACTATGTGTTTATGTTGGTGACTTGATACTGATGGTGACTATATGTTTCTTTTGGTGACTTGATACTGATGGTGACTATGTATTTCTGTTCGTGACTTGATACTGATGGTGACTATTTGATTCCAAGATAATTTCGGACCTTTGACTTGGTGATATTCAGATGGTTCAGAAACAATGCATCAATCATATTCAGAAGTGATGGAACATTGATCCCATGTATTTGCATACATGACATGGTTATCCATCTACTTAACATACATGTTCTGTTATTTCCAGGGAATCATATCTTTAAGTCTTATGCTGACCTTTTCCATCGCTTAACTTCTTAAAATCAAAATCAAAGCATGAAAATTCCTTGGAAATGATGGAACATGACATTGAATCCTCCCATGCACCTCATGCATCTTCATGCATTCATTACATGTACTCAGAGTTGGGGATTCTTATTCAGGATTAGTATTCTCTTCAGAGTTACAAATTTGGGTTCTTACTATCACGTGTTGAGAGGTCTGTTATGGAACAACTCCGTAGGGGATTGATCGGGGTGAAGATTCAGATGGGGTTGCTTGTGGTATACATGAAAGCCATGGCCCATGGTCGAGAGTTCTTAGAGAAGGAAGATAACCAATGGAAGACTCAGTTTATATGAGTTATAGAAATAGTGTCAACAAAAGGCAATCCTACACATACTGCTGCAATAAAAGTTATCTCTTCTCCTCATCTTTTGGGATTTCTTTCAAACCATGGAGTGCTTCATGGATCCCATCCACAATCTTGAGTGCTTGGGACATCTTGTCAACAATTGGTTCCTATTCACCAAGTGAATTCAAAGGATATGTTTTATCAGTGAGGACAAAAGAGGCCTGGAAAATAGTTTGATCTCATTAAAGTGCTTCATTCTCGTTCATTTCATAATTGCTTGAGCTTCAATTGGTTAGGCTTCATACTTCAGCAGCGTCTACAAATTCCCTTCCTGATCATGATACCAACGTCGGATATTTCCATTGCTTGCCATCTTTTGTGTATGCTTTCCTCTTTATTTAGGCTTTCCTTTGGAATTTGCATTAAAACTAAAACCTCTTTTTCTTTCAAACTCATAAGTCACTATAAAATTGCAAAATCCTTTTCAAGGTAAAAAACACCAATCAATTCAAACTTCTTTTATCTCTTGGATTTTTCTTTTAAAACCTTTTCAAAAAGGACATGCTTCGCTAGCATCGTCTATAAAAAACACACAACAAATGGAAACTATTGATTCAATCTACAACGCTCTGATTCTTTAAAAGGGATACATAGGCATTAAGTCGCGAGGTCTAAGCGAGCACAACTTTGTAAAATCTTTCTTCTTTTCCCTATGTTTTCTTTTACATGCATTCCCTTTTAATATTAAGCTTTAGACATAGATTAGATACACCCTTAGATTAGGACAAACTTACGTGGATCCCGTGGAGTACCACAGACGTGAGGGGTTCTAATATATTCCCTTCGCGTAACCGACTTCCTTACCCTTCTCTCTTGGTCGTGATGACCATACTCCTTTCCTTCCTTTAGGTTTACTCAATGTTTCCTTTCCCTCTCTTGGAATAAATAACATTGATGACGACTCTTCTGTCTTTCGCCTCCTTCGCACTTCGATGAAAATCCCAGACGCGATACTTCTCACGAATGCTCAAAGTCTTTTTCCCTTTCCCCCAAAATCTCATGTCTGTCTCTTTTCCAACTTTTTCACATACTGTACAAAAGTCCCTTGACTTTATTTATTTATTTAACCTGAAACTCCCAGTTACTTTTGTCACCCCTAAACTCTCTCTACACCTATATTCTTACTATTTTCTAAACTCTTTTATTTTAATTAAATAATACTCTAATTAAATAATTATCTAATTATTTAAATAAACTCAATTAAAATAATAATTCTACTATTTCTCTAATTCTAACCATACCCTCATCTCTTTTTCATCTCATCCAACTTCCTAATTTTAAATAAAATTCTATTTTCTCCCAACTTTAAAATATCTCTAATTTTCTTAATATTTTTAATATCTAATTAAATTAATTAATTAACAATAACTCTCATAAATCATATATTTCATTTAAATAAATAAAATAAAATAATATAAATTCAATTAAAAATAAATAACTAAATTTGTGGTGTTACACATCATATCTAATACGAACCAAAACAAACAAAAAAATAGTTTAAAAAAATTACAGTAACAGACAAATTCGGAGACGTGTCTCCGAAACAGATAGCAGATGAATTTAGAGATGCATCTCTGGACTAAACATTCCTTTTTTCAGCTCAAGAATAAGGTTAATGCAAACAATGAGATGTACAATTAATGAACTTTATCTTAAATTATAACTTCTTTTGCTCTATTTGATGTGATAAAACACAAAAAGGATGACTCAGAGTTGGAAAATTAATTGAAAATGAAGTTTATTAAGAGTTTTGGGTTATGGAGGAGATTTGAACTATGTGAGAGATGATCATGCAAGGTGGTGATATATTCAATTTTCCATTTGACATTTTCGAAGATGCATCTTCGAAAATTTTACTTAATGATTAAATGATAAATCTCAATAAAAAACATTTGATAAATGAGTTCAGAATTGTTTTCGAAAATACATCTCCGAATACACCTAAAAATATTCACAGATGCATCTCTAAACTAAATTTTGACTAACATGATTCATGGTACATTCAAAAATACGTATTTAAAAATATTTGAGAGTAATTTTAGATTTTCAAAAATATAAACTATATCATAAGAGTGAGAAGAGAAATTGTCAAATAAAATCACCTAAAAATGCTAAGCCTAACTATTGAATGAAAGAAGATAGGCCGAACATGATAAAGGCCCAAAGTTCCTAATTATTTGCAAGTCTTTCATACACCGTGAGAAGAGAACAAATTATTTATATATTCTATCTTATCACAATAAAAATGTTTATGGGTAGTGAGTGGCTAGAAATCCTAATCATTGTCCTCTTAAGATTAACAATGTAGTAGGACTTGTCGTGACATTACTTCAGTACAAATCACGTTGCATTGGAGTACAAGTGACACCCACTCATAGCGTGTAGTACAAAAAAAAAAAATTTCATTGGCCAAAATACTTGTCCAACAACCAGTACTAAAGTGTAGTACAAGTATAAAAAAACTACATAAATAAAATCAATGCATCATTGTGTTTCAGCAGCAAAACTATAGAGTTGAAGAGAGTATATCTTTAGGACTATGGTTTGGACAAGTCACAAACAAGTCTAGACTCTAATGCTGGCTATGGCTTGTAGCATGAGGTGTGGCATTGTCACTTGTCCAAACTATAGTTTTAAAGGAATCATTTCATCAATAAACTCGGCAGCAGGTAATTCAGCCTCATTTCAAAGTAATCACATAACATAATTAGGTGCTTTTATTGATTTTCTGGCTTGATGTTTTATTGTTGATTCTGGTCCATGTCTTTTTAACTGTAATTCTTTGATGTCCTTCTACTGGAAGAGAAATTGAAAGGGAACTCACCATCTTTAGTGATGGTATTTACATTGATGAATTTCTTGTTATTACATTTGCATGAATGTTACATTTATACAAGTGAAGCCTAACTAAAAACTAACTTGTATAACCTCTAACAATCTGTAAGAGCTTCAGCTTTTGTTAATTTTTCAATGCAACTGTTAAACACTCTGACTTTGCCTTTTTTAATATATAATATGACTTATAACACTCCCTATTAGATCAAGGGGGGTTTGCAAGAAAGAACCCTGAGCTTGGTCTTGAGTTCTTGAAATGTAGCTGTTTCTTGTGGTTTGGTCAATGTATCAACTATTTGAGAACTGGCTGCTACATGCTGGATAAGTTGCTTCTTTGATGTCATACATAATGTAAAAAATGGTTTTGAATGTTTAATTCATACTCTACTCAATGTGTGAAAAACACTACGGATGTGATCAATGCAATGTTAGACTTTCAAATAATTAATTAAGACTGGAATTTAAACAAGTTGAGAAGGGGAGTCATACATATTTATCATATGGCAGCTCATACCATGTTAAGAAAAGGAAAAATTATTGTGCAAGTTTTTTTTAAGGAGTTAAAGTTTTAAAGAAGTAGTCTTCATACATTTGAACTTTGGTATCTAATAAATGTTTTAGGTTAATGTGTTTAATCTCGCGTGATTGTCATGTTTGTTGTAATCAATAAAAAATATGAGAGTTATTATCATTAATTTTTGTCTTAAGAACGAGAAATAAAGATAATCCTAATTGTTTTAGAGACTCTAAGTTTGTAAATCAATTAGATGAAGAGAATGTGTTAATTACTCTTCATTTCCCTTGTTCTCAAGGGTCATCCTATTTTATATCGTATGGTAGATCGAAAATTTCTATTTAAAAGTTGTTGTTTCCATATATTTAAGAAAAAATTTAATTTTTTAATAGCTGAATTCGCCTTGGTTTTAACCATGTGCATACGTATCTCTTTGTGAAAAATCAGAGTTTAATTTCGTAGTTCGTATCGTTTGGTTGATGTTTTTATAATATTATTTAGAATTGCTTTCGAATTATCCTTGAACCTTGTCTGATTTTGAAAATTGAGTGATCGTGGACGCAGTTCGCAGTTAAGTTTGATATCAATTCTATTTAATCATTTTTTTTTTAAATAATCTTGAGTTTTATTATGTTAGTAAAAAATATTTTTTTGTTGGTTAGCTGTTTTGATATTTGATTCGGTAGATTGAAGAAGAATTGATCTTCATTGAAACTAGTTCACGCTAGGCGAAATAATTTATTTGATTTGTTTGGTGAATTTTAATTGTATTTTATTTGAATAATTAATTAGTAGACGTTAAACTGATTAATCGATTATTCTAGAATAATTAATTAGTAGACGTTTAACAATATCTTAACTATCTTTCTTAATTTACTTGAAATAATAAACAAAATATCTTAACTATCCTAAAGAAATTAAATAAAATAAGCTGAGGGTATGAAAGCCGCGGCGGATCCGGCTCGATGGCGGCTGGGGATTTGTTTCCTCTTTTCTTTTGCTCCGATTTCAACCTGTGATATTGTTTCTCTTATTCTTTTCGTACCATTCCCTTCCCAAGTTCCATCCTCTCCTTCACTGCAAACTTAAACAACAACAAAAAACGTGAAAGTTCAGAACAAAAATACAACGACCGATCGGTGCTTGCGGAGATTCGCGGCTGATGGGATGTCGACAGAGCGATCTGGACGGAGGATACATCCGGTTGTCCGGGGGCAGCATCGTGTAAGGCGGAGGCGCGTTTCCAATGAGATTTCGGCGACAATGATTTTCCTTTCCGTCTTGTTTTCTTTCTGCTTTTCATTTCCACCTGCTAAAAGATTTGGAGCTGCACTTTTTTTATTGTGTTAGTTTGTTTCTTTGTGATTGTCTTGTAAAAAACTGCGTTAACCTGAATTTGTGAGGTTTGAATTTTGATTTAATGAAAAAAGTTTTGGCTGCAGATTGTATTTGGATGAAATTGTTCTTACCGTAAACTTTGTGACTAAGAAGAAAAGAGTTTTGTATTAGAAACGCCAGTGTTCTATGGCGAAAAGTTCTTGACAAAGAAGGTTTGTTATAAGGCTAAAATATTTACAGTGAAAAAATTATGGTAAGAAAAAAGAGGTTTTAGAAATTGTGGAGAAAATTTTATGTGAAATGGAATTGTGTCTGGTCCGAAAGTGCAGTGCATGTACGTGTGTGAGAGAATAAAAAATGAGAAATTGTAAAAAATATGTATAAAAACGTTGTGTGGGAATGTTATAATTAATGGTTAAAAATTGTTACTAACATGAAAAAAAACCAAAAACATAGTAATAAATAAGTTTTAAAAACAAGAAAATTGATCTTACTTATCAGAAATGGACCGTCATAGATGGAGTACCGGTAAGATACTCTGATGACAAAATAAGTTGCGGATTGAGCAAGACTCCCCCTGGTCAACTAATCTGGAAGAACAGGGTTGGACCCGTGATTTCCGGAGCGCAGTTTAAGATGGTTGTCGTGGGATCGTGGGCCACGTCCTCCAACAGTCGGGTGGAGAGTTGCCCAACGGTCCCTAACTTAGGCTGTTTTTGGGCTTCCCGTTCGAAGGACAAGTGTAGGCCCAATCCAGATCAGGAGCCCCCAAGTTATTGCCCTTGAGAAAAAGGGCGGTGACTTGAGTTCAGCTCTCGATACCGGAGACATGATCGAGGAAGACGACCAAAGTCTCCCGAAAGGAACGAGTTATTGCTCGCGTGGGGGACAAGCTCGAGTGTGTCGGGGATATTATGGATGAGCGGGCAGCGAGATCGAAGGGGTCAGTCACTTGCTCGAGAGGGTCGTATTAGTGATGGAGAGCCTCCGCGAGATTCTCTTTGACGCGTCCGTCTTGAGGGAGTTGTCGATATGTCGAGCAGCACTTCGTCCCTGAGGTGGTCGAATGGATGTCCCCCTATACGCGCTCTAATGTCGAGCATTCCCTCGCGTGGGTATCTGTCTCGTGCGTGTTTGGGGATGACGCGTAGGAGTCAGGCATATGCTCGTCAGTCCAGAAGGTACGTGTGGTTGACAGTTGAGCCACGTGGCTAATGCTTTGGGGTGTCACCCCTTCAAGGGGAAAGCCAAAAGGTCCAATGAAATGATGACCTTTCATGAGGGACCTCTTGGGGCATGGGTCACCTATAAAAGGGGGGCCCTGGGTCTCATTTGTCATCTTCTCAACTTTTCTTTCAACTTTTCTTGCTCGTGGTGTGAAGCGATCCTCTCAACTTCCCAAATTTCCTTGCTCGTTGTGCGAAGCAATCCTCCCAACTTCTCAGATTCTCTTTGATTTCTTCATCCAAGTAAGTCACAACCTCTTAACACCACGTTTCTTAAGCGTTTCTGGATTAAATGTCTAAATTATGCCTTGATTGGATGAACATTTATGAGTTTTATGATGAATACTCATGAATGTTCATTGAGGTTCATGGATTCCGCGTCGAGCACTCATGAATGTGCCAGACACTTTATGAACGTTCATTAGCTATAGTGTCGGGGCGGCCTCCCCGAATAATGTATGTAACACAGGGGATGGCTTCCCTGGATATAGGGATTATCTCGGGCTTCTCGCTCGATGAGTGATCATCTCCCCGACAACATGACCTCCCAACATAATAGTCTGCTTTAGCTTGTAGTCGAGGGCTTGGGTCGAGTTCGTCTCCCTTTCACTTGATCTGCGGTGGAAGGGTGGATTTGATCATGTCGAATTCACTATTTTCCCTGCTTTTCAGGTATAATGGCGCACTCAGTCGGAGACGATATTCCGGACTCCAATTATGAAGACGAGCCCCACACTGACGAGGACCCTTTGGCTTGGGTTGCTCCTGAGCCCCGGGATAAACGGTCGTGCTTTTCCCAAGACGCGGCAGATGCGTTCAATTTCCTGGAGGAACACGTAGAAGGGGCCCCTGCCAATTGGATGCTCCAAATCCCCCATCGCGACCGAAGAATATGCTCGACGTACCCGGGCAAACGGTTCCCCATGTATGAATTTTCTTTTAAAGAGGCGGGGATGCGCTTTCCCTTCAATGATTTTCAAGTTGGGGTTTTCCAGTGGCTTCAATTGGCGCCTTCTCAACTCCATCCGAACGCGCTGTCGTTTATGTGAGCTTTTGAGCTCGTCATCCAGTATCTGAGGATAGGTGCCATGCTGCCCCTTTTTTTCCGCATCTTTCACCTCCAAAGACAATCTGTTAGAGGGGGCAGGCGTGGGTATCGTTCAAGCAGTTCGGAAAGCTCTTTCGGCCTTACCTGGAGTCCGTCCGAAATTTCAAAGAGAGGTATTTCGTCGTGAAGCCTCTGACTGACGCGGCCATAGATTCCCTGTATATTCGTGTGGAAGAGGTGGAGGACGGGCGGCCAGTTACCTGACTTATGGCCAGATTTCCGCTCGAACGACAGTGGAAGCACTATGAACAAAGGCCCGAATATTATGCTGTGAAACCCGAGGACCTAGACGCTCAAGACCAGCTTTCGTACGAGAAGCTTCCGGCTTATAACAAGAGTTTCTCCTCCGCAAAGTGCGTGGATGTGAACAACTACCTCTTGTTCGACGACGAGGAGGATTATCTTTTAGTCAATAGGTTGATCAACACGAAGGCCTTGCTCGAGTGCTCCTCAAACGGAGAAGCCATGAGGCTTTTAGGTAGGGTACGTAGCCTAGTTAATTTGCTCAGGCCACTAATCTAAGACATGTTTTCTGGATAAAACATCTTAGATACACAACCCAGATGCCTCCTCTTCCAAATCAAGAGTAGGTTCCAAACATATGTGATCATCACACATTTGTTTAGCATCCAGAGCATTTGTTATTCGATAGGAAGCTGCACACCTACTGGCATGATGTCCCAACATCTGGTAGGACATAAGTTCCCTTCTTCTAGAACATAAAACTGAGCTTGGTTCTAAAGCCATCACTGCTTCCAGAAAATCAAAACATCCCTTGATCACCTTCAAGGTCTTTAAAATTGGTCCAAGCTCCAGCTACACCAACAACAGCAAGACTCAGAGTCACTTTCCTAATTAGGTCAAGAATTAGGAAGACTCTTTTAGAAGCCGAAATAAATGGCTCTATCCTTTCTTCAATAATTTATCAAACAAATGACAGTTTTCTTGAAAAATACATCAACCACACACTAAAGTGCTTTTATGAGCGGGCTTAGGAAAAAACTCAAGTATCGTTGTCAACTTTACAAAGTTGGTTGAAATAGTCTTAAAAATACCACCAGATACACAAAGAACAACCAGGGTTACATCAGATACCATATAGTGGAAAAACACACCAAACGCTCCTCAACATCCATCAGGCACAACATAAAACCTTACACATAGCCACCACAGTCCAGGTGCAAACAAAACAACCTAGGTTTAAAAATAAGTCAAACCTCAACACAACAGCTCACCACCAAAGTTACAGGCCTGATAACATCAGATAGGTCAAATACACACCTTATCACAAATAGTACATCCTCCACTTCAAGGGACCATTCAAACAATAATATGAACTATCCAAGTTCAAACAACTTCTCAATAACAACCTCTTTCCTTGCACATGACCAGAAAGTGTCTTCCCAGGATCTCACCCAGAAAAGAATATGATGCCTTCTCTGATACCAATTGAAATTCTGGTATATCAGACTTCAGATGTCCTATGACATGTTGGAACATCTGATCCGACTTAAACAACACAGGCAAGGTATAAACAATAAAAACAGTACTGAAAAACATAAACAACACACATAAATTGTTAACCCAATTCATAACAACTCTCCTACTCTGGGGGCATGCTAATCCAGGGACAAGTCCACTATGATAGTATCAATTCATAGACCCTACAACAAACATACAAGTTTACGATCTACTCACTTAATCACTACTCGTGCTAGACTTCTATCTAAGACTCACCTAGATAAGAGGCCCTCCTCAATCCCTCATCAATCACATACAACGATTGGACAAAACAGGAAGACACACTTCCATAAAAAAATAGAAGACACACTTCTATTATAATACTCATCTAGACACTTGACAAGAACACAACTTGAAGTTACTTAAAATCTTCCTTCATGAACAATACTCACTCTTGATTCACAACTTCGAGGAGAAAAATAATAACTCATTACCTAAAGGCTTCTGAGTGATAATAGAACCTTGCAACTCAAGGAACACAATCCAACTCACATGTCGATTGGATCATACAACCAACTTTCCTAGAGAGTGGTACAGACTCTTCCCTAATGACTACATCTTTTCAATTCTCGGCTGGTATCTTTTCCTAGGTTATAATGCTTTTATTTATAACCTATCTCCCAACTGGATTTGGGCTTCAAATCACAACACTTTGGTTGTTACAAATCTGCAGAAGATTCTGCTACAAAATAGGTCTTCAATCAAATATTTGCTAAAAAGTCTCCTTATTTATAAAGTCAATATTCTTCAATATTATTCTTGATTCTTCTTGACCTACAAATCAACGCCATATAATATTGCATAGTATTCCTAGAATATTTTGCATCTGTTAAATCATAACAGAATCCAACTGTTCAGCTCAGCTCAGGCGCGATGTCGCATGATCCTACATAGACATCTTATCCGACATGTTGCTCCAGATGTTGAAACACTTCAACTCAACACGTCTCAACAAAAAATTGAACTTCTTGCTCAACTTGTTCTTTATAGTAAGATAACATATCCTATTTAACATATTTCTGTTATATTTGGTTTATAAAAATTAATATCAATCCTAAAACTAGAGAACTAACAGGCCACACTTGAGGAGGGAGGTTGGTACTATAGTCATGTGGTGTTATACTTATCAGGTTTCTAAGGGTCATTCTCCAAATATTGGTCTTTATATGCCTTTATCTATTCCTGATGATATTTGGTAAGATTTAGCTATGGATTTTGTGTTGGGCTTGCCTTGTACACAACAAGGTGTAGATTTTGTATTCTTTGTAGTAGACAGATTCTCACTTCATTACTTGTAACAAGATTTATGATGCTTCTAACATAGCCAAACTGTTTTTCATGGAGGTTGTGCATCTTCACGGGGTTCCTAAGTTAATTACTACAGACAGGGACACCAAAATTCTCATCCATTTCTGAATCACTCTTTGGAGATTGTTTGGAACCGCATTGAATAGGAGTTCTACAACCCATCCTCAAACAGATGGACAAATTAAGGTAACCAACATATCTCTGGGAAATATGATTCAGAGTGTTTGTGGTGACAAGCCAAAATAGGGGGTTTTGTTTTTCCTAAGGTCGAATTTCTTACAACAATGTTTTGCATTAAGCTCTAGAAAAATCACCATTTTTTCTGGTATATACTTTTGTTCTAAGCATATGGTTGATTTAGTTGAGTTACCTAAGGATCCTAGAGTTAGTGCGACTGCTGAGAATATGGTTGAGGAAATGGTGGCTGTTAAAGAAGTTGTCAAGGCTAAATTAGAGGCTCCTTGGAAGAAGAATAAAGCAGCTGCTGACAAACGCAGGAGATTCAAAATTTTCAATATGAGAAACGATGTGGTGGTGTTTCTGCGCAAAGAGAGGTTTCCGGTTAGTACTTACAACAAGTTGTAGCCATGTAAATATGACCCGTTCAAAGTGATCCAAAAGATCAATAATAATGCTTATGTGGTAGCTCTCCTGAATTCAATGAATATATCCAATACCTTTAATGTTGCTGATATTTATGAGTATCAAACAGATAAGGCTCTTTACCAATAAGAGAACTTGTGTTTGAGTTCTTTAGAGGTGGAAGAGACTGATGTAAGAAGGCTTGCTGCGTGGATCGAAGAAGAAATCGCATGTCAGAAAGCATTTAATTATTTAAGTAATTTTTTGTTTTAAGTAACTTTTAGTTTTATTTCTTTTTTGCATAAAAGTCCATTAGGGTTTTGTAACACCCCAATTTTATTTATTATTTATTTTATTAGTTATTTATTTTATTAATTATTATTTGATATAGTAATTAATTAAATTGTGTGATTTTGTGAATATATTAATTATTTAGATTAATTGTTTATTTGTGTTTTGGGTTAGTAAGAGTGAGAATAACATTATTAAGTAATTGGGCCTTGGTAAGATGAGTTAGTGTGAGATTGGGTGAGATAAGTCCATTAATGAAAGAAGAGTTAGTAAGGGGTTTTGTAAAAACAAAGAAAAAGAATTGTAAAAACAAAAGAAGGGAAGAAAGAGGAATAGAGGAGAAAAAGGAGAAAAGAGAAGAGAAAAAGATATAACCCTAGAGTATATAAGAGTATATAATGAGTAATGAGCATGATTAAGGATTTTGTTCTTTAGTTTTTTGATTTTGACATGTTAGAATTTGAATGTGAAATCATGAAATTGATATTTGAATCATGTTTTGATGTTGGTAATTACTTTCCGTTTGAGCAACACATATTTGTGGGAGACACACCAATTGTTCACCTAAAATCTTAAAGTGATAGGTGAGTGAGTTCTCTCACTTATAAATGCTCAAGTCACCACATTCTTATCCAATGTGTGACTTTTTCCCCATATTACTTACACTTGTATTATTCTCAAATTAATATCATTATGAAAAAAGATTATTCCGCTGCGAGATGCATGTGTTAGTGTATGAAATATGATTTTTTAAATATGTGTTATGAACATGATCGGTGTATTTGTGTTATTTTTGTGAAATATATGTGACGCCCTCTTGATATGCATACTAATTTACTCTAATTATATCATATATTTGCGCGAGGTTAAGGAGCGTTACAGATTTCTTTAAATCCATTAAAGTTTATTTGTTTTTTATATTTAAAGAGAGTGTGAGATATTACAAACACCTACTAACTTATAGGACGGACTATTAGTGATTTAAAAAATAGTTATGAGTGTTAGTAACTATAAATAGATTAAAAGTAGTTAATTAGAATAATTTTTTATATTGAAATATACTCGTTATCATAAATACAAATTGTTTGGTAATTTCTCTCTCTTTTCATGGATACCATGATTCATAACAATTAGGCTCAAGTTTCATCCACGAACCAGCTTCATCATATTCAGATAAGAATTCCAGCACCTACATAGCTATACCTAGAATCTTCATGTGACTAATAAAAATATATTACTAAATGGCTAAGTGCATGTTTGAATTTGCGGTCAGGAATGAAAAATCACGGTGAAATTGAGGTAGCCTAGAAGCTCCCTTTTATAACTTCTGTTTTCCACGGTGAAATGGCATGTAGTCACATAGGGATGAATAAAAAACCTATTCCAAACATGTTGTAAATATGTGATATACTAAAAATACTACTCAATGACCAAAGCAGTGATATTTAAAGAAGAAACATGCAACTTGATCGGTTCGATTCACTTAAAACATGTAAAAGTAATTTTATATAAATAAACTTGATTTTATCATGTTCAAGTTACTTCGAATTATTTTCATTTTTAAGTAAAAGCAATTTAGATATGTATAAAGCTGAATTTAGAATCAATTGATTTGAGATTGTTCCACTTAGTGCAAATTAAAGTGGATTCTCTCTATGGAATTGTCCTATCTCACGATGCTCTAAATAATAACCATCCAAAATTTCCTAGCAAAATCACATTAATCCCATTTTTTTCCCTTTAAATAAGTGCTTCCTCATTCACATTGCACACAAGCACTACCAAGTATCAACACATCCAATTCACCATCAAAAAATGTCCCTCTTTCCCAATAGCATCTTTGGTCGAAGAAGATCAAAATCACCACAAGATCATCATCATCAACACCAAACAAGGAACAAGCACCCATCATATCAAGCCCATGGTTATGGAGTTTCTCAACCCCATGCACCCTATATAACACCACCAAATTTCCACGAGCCATCACCAATTGTCAACAACACTCACATAGAGTGGAAAGAAACCCCTGAAGCTCATGTTTACAAAGCACATCTTCCGGGGATGAAACGAAGCGATGTGAGAGTTGAGGTTGATGATGACAGAATGCTATGCATCGTTTGTGAGAAGAATGTTGAGATGGAAGAACAAAGTGGTGGATGGCACCGTATTGAGGTTGCTAGTGGTCATTTTGTTCAGCGTCTTACTTTGCCTGAAAACTCTAGGGTTGATCATGTTAAGGCTTATATGGATAATGATGTGCTCACTATCAATGTTCCTAAGAATAGAGTTTCTGTGAACAAACATGTTAGGAATGTTCAAATTTCTCATGTTTGAGAACTTAATTACCACCGTGTCTAAGGTATTGAGATTCTCTCTATTTGAGAAATATTTCATGAGTTTAAAGAGAGATGAATTTATGAAATTAAATAATATTTCATGAGTTTATATTTCTTTAAATTACAAAAGTGTTCATGAGATAGAAAGAATCTAAAAATTGAAGCTAGAGTATTGATAATTTGATATGTATCTTTCTAGAAGAGACACGGTTAACTATATAATAAAATATGACTATGTTGTGTTTTTCTATATCAAATTGTCTCATGCTTATGCATCCTTTCTATTGATCTATGCAACTCAAGAGAAAGGACGAGTAAGTTTTGCTCTTTTATTAAGGGAAAGATTTCTCTTTCTTAAGATTTTTTTTTCTTCTTTAGTCACAATATCCTAATATTTTAGATGAACTCGAAATTAAAGAAAGATTTTTTCTAATCACAATCATACAATACAATATGTTTAGAGATATTATCAATCGAAAAATATAGTTAGGTCGAATTGTAAAAATCAGGAATAATATTTGTAACATAGAATTAAATTAAATATTTGTCAATATAAAGAATATTAAGATTACATTTTACACGATAACGCTAAATAGAAATTGCATAAATAAACACAAAGCAAATAACATAGTTCAAACAACTTGAGATAAAATCATTTACAATGTCTGATTCAAAAGAATTTAGCCACTTATTATATAGAATTAATCATAGCTAAAAGTTCAAGAAGTAATACGTGAATTATAAAAGATAAAAACTGAGCTTCAATAATGTAGAAGAATCAATTTCTATCTCTAATAAATTCGCAACTGCTTGTACTATGTAAAAACTGCTTGTACTATGTAAAATTCTAAACCCTCCATAAATTTTCAAAGTTTTCTTCTTATAATGAGGGCTTCAACAAACCACGCCACAATTCGACCCAATCTTGTTGTGATTTGTCATTTATTTCACATGGTAAGTAGAGATTATTGTTCAATTGCTCCACGACCTAATATCATTGTGTCGTGATTTCAACAGACTTTTTCTACATTTGGCATAAGCTTGCATCTTGTCATGATTCTTCCTGATCATAGGCTCATTTATCCAAAAATATTTCTTCGTTCTTCACACTCTTGTGTGCCCTTCTCACTTCGCATCTTGTCACCGTAATCTCCACCATGTGGAAACATTATAGAGTTGTCTGGATATAGTAACTTGAGATGAAATATGACTTTCCACATTAATTTTGGTACATATTATAATTTTCTAAAAAAAATCAGAAGATGTTGATAAAAAAATAAAACTAAATACTATAAAAACAACTAAAAATACTAGTATGATAGAATGATATTGTAGTGTTATATTTGTGAGAATTATAAACTAGGATGCCCTCGTCCAAGAGTTGTATCACCCAAGCGACCACTTAATGACTCGCTTTGGGCATTGATGATGTGTAAGGTCATTAGTTAAAAGAGAGAGAGAGAGTTCTCCACTATTTCCTGAAGGATGGGTGGTCAATAATTTCTCCTGATTAGACGAGAGTGTTTGTCTCTACTCAAGGTTACTCAAACCCTAGGCCCAAGAGGTCTTTATAAATATTCCTCCCCTCAAAGGAGGAAGGGACATATCATTACATCCTAAAGCATAGGTTTTAACCAGATCATAACTCATATTGATCACACCCCTCAAAAACTTATACGTAAGCATATCTTTCATCAATGGAGTCTCTCACCTGACGTGAGAAGGACTTCTAGAACCACCACAAAACACCATTATACAGGATGGTGATCCCGTGTTAAACCCATTTTCTTAGTTTGTTTTGTGATGTAACTTTGTATACATTCTTTTGTTATTCCTAGTAGGGTCTTGTTTCCCCTGTGGAGTCCGTCTTTTGCATTCATAATCATAAGCATTGCATGGCATCTTAGGATCAAAAATTGGGTCTTCTTATATTTAAGTATCTTCAATCGCATCGAGACGAAGATTGTAATCTTCATATCTCCAAATAGAATAAAAAAGACGAGATATTAGGGGGCGTCTGTCACCAAGGACTTCAAACCCCCCTCCTTGGTTAAGTTTGATGGACGCAACTGTAATACCCTTATTTTAACCCCTAAGATCCCATGTCATTTTGCATCATGCATCACATCAAGATAACAAGCTTGGTTACCTTCTCTCTCTCTTTGAGTTTTCCTTTACAAGTATCACCAAACACCCATTTGTTTTTGTATGTCTTTTATGCTTTATATTTCACTAACCTTTAACCAAAATTCAAAAATATATTTTGTTTGTTTTGTTTCTTTTTCAAGAAAGGGCCTTGGATCAAGAAGTTCATGTCATGGTTCTTCAATTAGGTTTGTGGGTTTCTCAAGTCAAAGAATGATTCTCAAAGGTCTATTTTTCAAGATTGTGATCTATAATCTTAGGTCACATTATCCTCAAGCATCATTTAACATGGTAGATGCAAGATTGGTTGCATAATTCTTAAGAGTCTTCAAGATAGGTTCATGTGTTTGTTTCCATGCCTTCTTCAACAAGTACCCTCAAGTTTTGACAAGTGAGAACATAATTTAATCAAGATTTTATCATCTCAAGTTCATATGTGCATTAACATGTTTTGGATTGCAAGAAAAGATCAAGTATACAAGTTGATTCAAAGCACTTTGACCAAAAGGTCAACATTTTCAAGTTCAAAGTCGAATGATCACAACTTCTTTAATATTCAAAAAATTTGAGTAATTCTTTGGGCATAAGACTGTCTTTTACACTCTTTATAACTCCTCTTTACAAGTTAAGAACTAATTATGTATGGAAAATCATCAAAATTTTGAATATATTAGAGGTCACTTTTTGGACTTTGACATAATTTCAAGTGACTTTTGTCCAACTTTGAAGGATCATAAATCTTTAAATTTTCATACTTTTAAGACTATTCTTTTTGCACAGTATCACAAATGAAATTATCTACAAGTTTGCTTTTAAAGATCAATAGTCAATTGTGCGTGGAAGGCCATGAAATTTATTGAAACGTTATAGGTCATTTTTGAACTTGGAATTGACTTGATATTGATTTTGTGTTGAGATTATTCATCATTAAGTCAAGGGTTATAGTACAAGATATTGAGTTTGAAGGTTCATTGATTATTTGTTGCTTATAATAGAAATCATTTGTGTTGGAGCATTAACAATTATTGAATTAAAATTGAATTTTGATCAGAGTTCGTAAGGCATTTGGTTTGTTCATCAAGATTTCATTCATGAAAGAGGGTTTACATGGTTTACTAGGAAGGTATTTCAAAGTTTAATGGCCATTCATGATATTACAAGGAAAGGTTTATTTCAAGTTCAAGTGTCCATTTTCAAATTCAAGTTTCCAAGCATTATTCCAATTCAATTTTCTTTATTGCAAGTTCAACAACAATTCTTTCAAGTCCTTATTCCAAATTCAACTTTTCAAGGCATCCATACAAGACAATTCAATATTTATTTTGGCCTAAACTTTCAAAGTACCTCATTCAAGTTTCACAAATCTAATATTTCAAGCTTTTTTCATTCATCACTTTCAAGTTCATTCAAATTCCATCGCCAACTTTTGAAGTTGTATCAAGCACATTTGGAAAATTTTCTTAAAGAACAAGAATTCAAGTTTTCATAAAAGCTCCAAGTTTTCAAAGAAGAATTCAAGTGTGCTCATTACATCATTCATGACTCAAGAGTTCAAGCATTGCTAAACCTAAGCTTCAAGCAAATTCACATCAATTTTAAATTACTTAAGGCCTAAAAGTTCAAGTTGCAAAAAAATGCCAAAGAGCTAAGAAACAAATTCCTTCATGTTCACTTCTTCTTCAACTACCTTCCAAAGTTCCAAGCCCTTTTGAACATATCTTTACATACTCCAATCTCTCGATTTCCATCTTATTCAAAGCACAAGGCCACTGTTTCATCATGTTTCTTTCAAGAATTCTTCAAACTCCATCATCATTACATAAAATAAAAAGCAATCGAAAAGGGTGAGGTTAGCAATTCACAAAGGTTCCTTCCAATAACATGAATAACAACACCAATCCAACATGATTCATGTCAAACTCATTTCAACACAATATGCTGTCCAAAATAAATTCATTCCAACAAGTGCAAAAAACATGTTAGTTTCCATCATTCTAAAACCAGTCCAACGATTAACAAGGTTATTTAAAAAAAGTTCCAAACTAAGTTAAAATACAAGTCAGACCCAAGTTAACAATAACATCACAAAGATTGAAACATAAAAAATGAGTCATTTTTGTGGGCTTTTAAGCAAGCAATTTGAACCCAATCCAGAGTCATTCACAACACAAATTTGTTCTACAAAAATCTGAAGATTTCTAAATCTATAAAAACATTCATTGAGACTGAAACAAAGAGGATTTTCAGACTCACAAACACAGTGAAAACAAAAAATGAAAAATAAATAAGGAACTCCCCTGAATCATATATTGTCGGAAACAAATTCCTTCACCGGAAAAGATCCCTCTGTCGCCCCTCAGACTCTCAGACTATCGCACACAACCTTCTTCCTCCGCCGTTCGTCCCTTACTTTGACACCAGAAGATTGGAATTCTCTCAACAAGCTGAATCCCCCCATGAATCTTCTATTTCAGTGATGTTTGTGGTTGTTAGAACCTAGGGTTTTCAAATTCTTTTTGTAGATCTTGCACAACCCTTTGATTTACTAAAAAACTAGCACCGGATTTGGGTAGGGGAAAGCAAATAGAGCATAATGGCATAAAAAAAATTCAAAACCGACATTGTCACGGTGGCGCTGTCGTGAGATTCATCCTCTGCCACCGAAGTAGAGGAGAGAAAGATGAGGAATCTATTCCTTTCTCAAAATATGAAGTTAATGTTTTTTTTTTTCATTTAACACATGCTACCTTGGGATTCATGTGATGACTCAATGGGTAGCAAGTGGCTACCAGAGTCATTGTCTCATCTCAGAAGATGATCAGAAAGTTAATCATGTGCATGTCTATATATTCT